ATTTAAACGATAAGATTTAAATGTTGATAATAAATTACATAAAACATGAACATGTGAAACAACATACCCAACGATCTTTTAGAAGAGGACTTTTTTGAATCAGAAGGGGCTTTATTAGGTTCAGAAGATGGATCTTTTGCATCGGTAAGTTTTTTTTTGGGTTCGATATACGAAGAAGGATTGAAAAAAATAGGTTTATGGATTTTACGACCAGATTTAGTTATAGAAGCGGACATTTCGGAGTTTTCTGAGAGAAGTTAAGAACACGTGAGAGATCAAGAATGAAAACGAATGGGAAAAAGAGAAAAAAAAGAAATAGAGAAAAAAAAATATATAAATTAAATAATGAATAATAAATAATACCTCTTTTCAAATTATCATCACCCGAATCATTGCCATCTTCGGAATATAAATTATTTTCAACATTTTCGACAGGTTGTACGGAATCGGTGTCAGCTTTAGATTTTCTTCGTGCGGTCGATTTTTTCGAAACTTTCTTTCTTCCTTTCTCGGACTGTTGAGATTTAGTTATCTCACTTTCTAACGTTGAAACATCATTTCTATCTATTAAAACAGACTGAACTGGTATCTCATTGACCTGGACAGATTCACTTTGTTCTAGCTTTTCAATTTCTTCAAGAATCGATTTCATTTCATTATCTCTCGGTGGGAAGTGAGTATCATCATCTATCGTAACTTCATCCACTTGTTCATCGTTAGTTTGGGTAAGATGGATTTGATCAGGACTAACAGTTTTTTCGACATCTTGTTGATCAGCACCACTGCTCAATTCTTGTTGTGAATTATTATCTTGAATAACTTGGATCTGATTTGATTGATGAAATTCTTCTTCAAGCTCAAAATCACCATCCTCTTCACCCTGATTTAATGATAAAATTTTGATGAATCAACATTATAAAAATGTATAGATCATTTATCGATTGATCAAATTACTTACCCACTCAGTAAAATTGATTTTGTTATATGCGTCTCGATGAATAAAATTATTCTGTTCTGAATTTATAAACGATACATATCGTTAGATTTTGAAGTAACACGTGTAATTAGAAAATTCACTATCGGTCCAAAGCTTTTACCGGAATATTGATCCGGAAGTTTCATAACCATTCCTTGATCTTCATAATTCATCATGTCAAAAATCTTTTACGTGATGTATTCAAAATGTTCAAAAAAAAAAAAAAAAAAAAAAAAAGAAACAGTAAACTTTTATATAGATCAAAACACTTTAATCTAATAAAAAAAGAAAAAAAAAAGATAACGCGAAAAAAAAATTCAAAAAAATAAACAGGAAATCATTTACAAGAACAGGAAAAACAAAGTGGATGAAGGCTTTGTGGGAAAAAAAATCAAATATTTGACAATGAGCTGTTCTAAAAAAAGGAAGTCGTTTTAACTCATGATACATATGTTTTCTTTCTTTTTTTAGGTTTCACCGATCCTTTTGGGTTTTCCGCAGTATTACGTCATTACTATTACACAAAAGTTATATATATAAGGCATACAATACGTTATAATAATTATCATTACCATAACAGGTTAGTAGATTAATAATTCTATAAATAGGCTTTTTGAATATGATATATAAAAGTATCGTATGTTCTTATGAATCTTTTATGAATGATTTCAAACTGCTTTATTGAATAAACTAATAATTAATCGATTTTCGTTATCTTTTAGCTATACTTTTAGCTACACTTTTATTATACTTTTGATATACTTTTGATATACTTTTGATATACTGTTGATATACTTTGGGTTATACTTTTTGTTATACTTTGTTATTTGTTATACCTTTGGTTATATGTTCTCGTTTAGTCTAGTTCAGTGACTTGATAATAAGATACAATATTGTATTATTTGTCTTTAGAACCAATCGAAGTACTTTGACTCTAAAATATCACGTGGTGTACCGTGTTAAAATTTTATCATATAATTATAATCACGTCTTGATAGCAATAATTAATCATATATGCATCACCTCTTACGCCAATCTAAACTAATGTGAATATAACACAACAAACCTTATCAGCACAAAGGGTGATTGTTCATACACGTACGTACGTACGTACTTTGATTTTTTTAATCTGTAGATTTCAAGTGATAAGGAAAAATGTCAAAAAAAATTCTCGGCATTCTCGGCATGCACCATAAACTTAAAATACTTTATCTGTTATTGTCTTTAGATTATTTAGATAACTGGGAGTAAATATTTGTTTATTTTTATTGATTTTCAGATCAGATCAGAAAAAGATTATATCGAAGAAACAAAAAATTTCGAGAATATGTGCATGGGAATCTGGAACAAACGAATATGCTTGTGTGACATATTTGGACAATACTGCATTATGCATAATTTCCCTATCAGTATATGAATCTCCGACCAATAAAAAGCCTAAAATCGTAATTTACATTTTCATGATACCTGATTGTTGTAATAAAAAACTACAGTATGTAATAACTGATACTATATACTGTACTAGATACTATGCAACTAATACACTACGTATACGTATAACTAATAGATGAACTAATATTATGTAACGATAGATGTATCCTAACAAAAAATACCTATCATTCAATTTATAATATATATATATATATTATATAATTATAAAAATTTTTTTTTAAGCATCAAGTTCCAATTGTTCTAAAACTTTATCAATTCTTTCAAGAATTTGATTATACTCAACTTCCCACGTAAAACTCTCTTCGCTAACCCTTCCATTTTTATCTAGATTATCTTCAAGCACTCCATATTTTTTTGATAACCTACAGTATATACAGTATCATAGAAAAAATTAAATCAACTTATGTGTTATATGAATAGTTAATACTCAATTACGTTCGTTATAATTATGATGATACGTGCCAAAACCGAATATCATCTATGAATGGCAAAGAATCCGTTTCTTCTCGTTTAAAAATACTGTAATAATAATAATGTTTCATTTATTTTAATATAATTGTATTTCGATGTATAAATTGTTTGATGTCACTAACCTGTGTGCTGATTCTTGGATCATTTCTAAAAATCGTTGATCTTCCAAAACTTCTTCAATGTGTTCTGCAAACCATCGCGAACACCATTGTTCTAATCTATAAACATTTAAATCAATTGCGGCGCTCATCAGCGTATAAATATCTTCAAGTGGTTCTGGCTGATTAGTCAACACTATCGATGCAAGTGATTTCAACTTATCAAGTAAAAATTTATCTGCTTCTATAAGGACTTTATATGAAAGGTTAGGTGGAATATCACATTTATCGGTATAAATAAATTCCAATATTAATGCAAATATTTCTGGTGTGCAATAATCTGATATTGTTATTTTGGGTATACGGCGATTATCATAATAAATTGTATCCATCTGTTGGCTTTCGGCAAATGGTCCGGTTATCATAACATTGAAATATTCTGAACGTTTGGTAAGGAAGGCTTTATGACATGGAAAAATTTGTTGATTTATTTGAATACAAATATCCGCTTGCGCAAATCTTTGTATTTCTTCATTATTTGATATATCAACGCTTCTTAATACAACATTTTTAAAAAACTTTTCAAAATCCTGTCGAAGTTCTTGCGATTCTAACTTATCAAGTACTTGAACTTCTTTTTTTGATATCTGGTTATCTGCTTTATACCGTTCTGCCAGACTATCTAATTCAAAATGTTGGCTCAATGATATCATTTTATTTTCTAAATCTTTGGCGATTGTGACTATTTCGCCTGTATATAAATATCTCAAAATTCCACGGAAACATGTTGGGTGCCATTGTGGTTCCGTAATTTCTATAACATCATAATTACGCCAGGTTGTTTCTAATTTATTGGCAAAGTACTTTGATCGCGCATAAAGAATGCATCGATGCGCGTGAATTTCTTCAAAAAATGGTAATTTGAATACCACATCACTAAATGTGTCAAGTGGTCGATCGTAGAGTAAAGTCAAAAATTTGAAATATGGCTTTTATTGATTAAAAATTATTAAATTAGTTAATAGTATTATAAATACATTCCTAAATAATGAACTATGATCTCTTGAAAAAAAACTAACCTGGCTCTCATCTACTGCTTTACTAAATTTATAATCTTGTAAAAGCTCCCTTATCTCGGAAGTAAGTGCTCCATAAAAACAACTAACCAGATTAAGTAAAAAATAAATGAATTATATCGATCTTGAAATTGATTTTGAATAAATTTACAAATAATGAAACGAACCGCTCTCCTTCAAAGGTATCTCGCTCACAACGGGCGCCATTCTCTAGTAAAAATGACACCACTTGTTCACAAAGTACATGTCAATTTGAATTGTTCGTAATTCATGAAAAATATACACCACTTAGTATGCCATTCTCACGAATCTAACCTTTGTAATGTCCACTTAAAAATTATATGAATTCAATTTATTAATTTAGTTTAAATGCGTCTTTATGATTAAAGTAAATATCAGTTACATATTAATAATCCCTCACCATAAACAAGCTAGATATAAAGGCGAACATTGCCAGAAATCGGTTTTATTGATAGGTGCTGAATAGTTTCGAACTAAGCTGTAAATAAGGTATCCAAAAAATCTTAATAATATCGAACGTAAATTAAGAACATAACCTTTATTTTACCTTTCTACTCTCTCAAGATCACCAGAGCGACAGGCATTCAACAAGTCTTGAAAAGTTTTATCCATACCACTGTCATCACTTTGACTAAAATCATTTCGAAGAATGACACTAACTGGCTTAAAAGAATTCATTATTACTTGCACTTTAAACGTATTTAGCGTTAATTAATGAAATTTTAATCCTAAGATTTAAATTACAGAATTACTTAATTCATACATACCCTCACGGGAAGATATTCATATGATTAGTAATCATCAACCAATCAAATTAATTTCAATACGCGTGAAAAGATAACGAAATCTTAGTTTTTGAATTAAGGCTACAAGTTACTCTACATAAATTTAACATATAGTTATATGGGGTCTTTCACATTAAAAGGGCCCATTTTGCAAATTTTTTGAAAAATGAGGTTTTATTAGATTCATGTAAATTTTAACATGACTGACATTTTTCAATTATAAATGAAAAGCAATTTGCTAGGGTGTGCAATGGGCCGGGTTGGGCCGGGTTTGCCTAAACCCGTACCCGGCCCGTTAAATTATGAACCCAGCCCAGGCCCGGCCCAACTTATTA